GAGAGCGACCCCAGCTGTTGGGCAAGAAAGAAGTCCCTGCTTTATCCTTTTACAGCAAATTCCTATAATCAGAGCAAGTGGTCAGTATAGTGTGTGAGATCTTGCTGTTCTGACCTGAATGTGTAGTCATTCAGTACCCCCATACAACTGAAATTAAATCAGAAACATCTTCAGTTTGGGTTGGGGAGGAGAATTTGAGTGATAACTGAAGTGAAAGTCAGGCTTTGGCAAATTCATTTGTATAACTATTGAACCCAGGGGTGGAAAGTGTTACTTAAAACTTTAGAAAAAGTAACAAGATCAGATAATCCTACTGGTCAAATGTAAATGATTTTAATGGAGCTCTTACACTTTGACCTGTCCCTACATCTGGGCCCTGGAGTCTTTTCTGTCAGATGTGTGTACCAGACTACAGGCCATTAGAGTTGGTAGCAAATAGCAGGTACCAGCCAATGTCCCCCCAATATCCCTTGGATGCAGCCTATGATTGGTTCCAGTCAACCTCCTCTTTAGGACCCCCTCGAGGCAGGTACAGCTCTACAACCCTTGCCAGCAGGAAGGAGTTTCAGAAGCCAAGACTTTTGCCCTCTTACCTCAAAAGAATGTGGGTCCTATTTGAGGGGGGAATGATGGGGATGGGATCTGAACCCCCTAAAAGGTAAAACCCTGGACTTTCCCACCTCGCCAAATCTCTGGCACTCACCTGAGGCTATAATCCTATCAAATGGCCTTTCATTGTGGCTACAACCCAATCTCCCAATTCTGTTCCTTTACTTCCCAATTGCCCCTGGCCTCTTCCTACCTTTAATCCTATCTAGACTCCACTTTCCTTTGGCCAGGTGGTCCAGGTGCCTGGCATTCTGTTCACCTCAGCTTACTGGTCACTCCCATCCAGATCCTCCCAGACCCCTCCTCCAGTCACCCTAAACTACTCGGTCACTCCTAGATCCTTCCCACAGTCTTTTTGTATATAAGGTCCATCTTGTCTCTCTATTTAGGTGCTCAGATTCTTAAAATCTAGCCAATAGCCCAATAATGTTCAAATTACTTAAGAGTCTGGCCAGTATGACAGATGTTCTAATAAACCTTGTCTTTGGCTGGAAAGAAAAGATTGAGAGCCACTGTAGTGTAGTGGATAAAGAGCTGGGCCTCAGAACCACAAACATCTTAAGTCCTGCCTCTGTCACATACACAGCAGTGAAAGCCTGGGCAAGTCTGTTAGCTTTTTGGGGCTCCAGGCTACTCTCTAGGATTGTAAATTGAAGAGAAGGTGCTTGTTTACTTGTACTGGTACAGGGTTTCATCCAGGAAGATCTAGGTCCAATCCCCATCTTAGTAATTTAGAGCAGTACTTCTTAAATTGTGGGTCACGACCTGATATGGGGTCACGAAAAATTTGGCAATGGTAAAGGTTTTCTGAATATGCAATGATCAAAAATTAATTAAAAATCAAATGCGTTATGACTCCAAGGTATTTCTGGCAGCACTTGTCCATGCTGTATCATGCAACTTCACTGCAGCCTTGGTTCTGAACACATGAAGTGTGCACACCACACAGTGCTAGGAACACTGGAGAATCTCTGAAAGGGATTAAAAAGGGGGTACAAGTGGAAAAAGTTTAAGAAGCCCTAATTTAGAGTACCTTTTCTTTATAGTACTTGCATTTCTTTTAAAAAACTGTTTATATCTTTTTACCACTTTATTATATCCTTGGTCACATGTATTTGTATCAGTTCCCTACATATCTTAAGGGGCAGACTTTTATCAGAGATACTCTGTACAAAGATTTCCCCCCCCAATTGACTGTCTCCAAATAGATAACTTCATTTTTGCATTAACTTTGTACAAAAGCATTTTAATTTATATGACCCAAATTGCCTATTTTTATCTTTTAAAATCACTACTATTTGTTGGTTATGTGTTAATATTCTTCCTCTACCTACAGATTTGAAAGGTTTCTCCCCTTCCATTCTCCTCTTTTTTCATGACCTTTTATGTTTAGTTTTGGTGTATTTTTTTTTTAAAACAACCTAGAGTTGTTTTACAGGCATGTAGTATAAGATGTTGATTTAAATTTAATTTCTGCCGAATTACTTTCGAATTTTCCCAGCAGGTCTTGTTGAATGTGAACTCTTTCCTGCTGTGATTTGTTTTTGGGTAACTGGGTTGTGTTCAACTGCTTCTGGGTCTTGTTTATCTACTACCAAACTGTTATCTAAGTTATTACAACTATCTAACTAAACTACCAAATAGTTTACAAGTTTACTGCACTTTACAATACAGTTTGAGATCTGGTATTCATCACTTTTCACTGATAATATCCTTTTTACCACTTCTCTAGCTTAATTTGTGATGAATTACAGTCTTCATTGCTCCTTTGACTTCAGTTCTTCAGAGGCTACACGATATTCCATAACCGTCAACATTTCTCATCACTGCCAGCATATTCATGTTAAAAACAAAATAGGCCTTTGTCCTGGTGGGGGTGGGGGGGCGCGCGATTGTTAAGAGAACTCCACAATCACCCAAAGGCCATGCTGCCTGCTCTCCTATTACTGTTCAATTCTGAGTCAAACTCATCTCATATCTGCAATGTCTATTTCAGATCTACGTACTCCTTGGAGATATGCTGGATCTAGATCAAACCTGCTCATGAGATTTGACTGTTATATTTTCAATATGAGCATTTCACACCTCACAAATCTTAAGAATTTGATTTCTTTGTTGTTGATTGTCTAGACTTAAAAAAGTAATGAAAATATCAATAACTAATACTAAACTCCAGTGTGTGTCATGGGTACATTTTTTTTTTGGAGAACCAGTTGTTAAACATTTAGCAGTACACCACTGTACATATTGATAAATGAAATCTAGAGATTGCCCATCCAATTACAAGTCTATCAATTTGAAAGATGACCAAAATCGTTGCTCAGAAACATTTAGTCGCTTTCCCATGGTAATACAGCTAGTAAACATCAGTCAGGATTTGAAATCATGTTTTCTAAATCCAACTCTAGTGTTCTTTGCACCAAACCACATTGTCTCAGTAAATGAAAAAAAAATTTAATGTAAATTATAGATAAACACAAAATATATGTGAGATTAAAGGTGGAACTTTGCCAAGTTCTTCTGATGTGATTTGAGATATAATTTACTCAGACCTTTTTAGTGAATTTTAGAGAATACTATTTTTTGCCACAGTAAATCAAATCACCAGTACTACTAACAAAGGGACTCAGTGATCACAACAGTCCCAAAGAGAATCCAAGTCTAGATTACTAGCAGAGTCTGGAAGTTGAAACAATAGTCCATCGAGTATTGATTCCCAGCCATGGTTTTGTGAAATCATGTGATATGTTCAGATGTCATCAAAAACGTCCATAGGATTGTAGATTCACAGGCCAATTAGTCCAATTCCTTCACTTTACAGTTAAAAGACAAAACAAAACAAAACTGAGGCCCAGAGAGGTGAACTTGACTTGCCCAAGGTTTGAACTTAGATCCTGACTATAAACTGCATACTCTTTCCACTGCAGGTGTTAAATTCTTTCCTCAAAACAGAGTAGATTTTAACTAACTTTAATTTAGAAAAATAAATGAGTCACAAAGGACAGTCAATAATTGGGTGCTAGGCAATCACTGTATAAATCCCCAAAGGATTTAGGGCTGAAGAGCCCTTAGAGAACATGTAGTTTAACTCCCTAATTTTGCAGGGAGAAAAATGGAGCTTTGCTAGTACCATTCCATAACTATAAGCAAGTTACTTAATCTTTCTGGAAAACAGGTATGTTTGTATGATATCCCTCAGAGCTGTTATGAAGAGCAAGTTAGATAACATATACAAAGTATTTTATAAACCATAAAACCTTTAAGTGTAAATAAGTATATTATTAACATACTGCTATTATTGATTCCAGAAGCTTTAGCCTAGGAGGGCTATGGGTGGGATTATGAGCTTTTGGACAGAGGTCTGTATACAACCAGAACAGGAAAATATAGAGAAAGTATTACTGGACTTGGAGTTAGGAGACTTTCCTTCAAACGCTGGACCCCATATATTGTGAGACCTTAAGGGAGACATTTAGGTGAGTCAGTGTCTCAACTTAGAAGGGTCTAGGATACAGTGGGTATTTAATAGATGCTTACTGACTGTAAGCCTGTTTTTTCACTTGTAAAAGGGGAAAGGAAGAAGTGTGACCCCTGACCAAGTAACTTAACATATTTTTTAAGTCACTACTGGGTGTGGGGTGTAAAGTTCAAAGACGGCACAACCCGTCCCCAGAGTAAGAGGATAAACACCAACACACACCTATTAGCAGAGTATTTAAACGATGGAGAAGGTTCAAAGTGCTGTAAAGTTCAGGGGCAGGGTAGTTATTATCGGGGTAGGATGAATTTTTTTGGGGGGGACTATGTTAGTTTTATGTAAAAATACATTTGTGTGAAACCGTTTTGTACGTACAAAAGTCGTATTCCAGTAGTTTTAAGCAATTAAATCTAAGCCCTTTTGGACCCCTTATCGACTTGCTTCACGTATATAGGAAGTAATGAGTTTAAAAAGATGGGTAATTCAGGAAACGAACAGGAGGAACAGCTGAGCAAGCCAGCTAGGGTGCAACGCATACCGGGGAGCAGGCCAGTTTGCCTGTGCTGACTCGGTTTCCCGATCTGTGAGAAAAAGTGAGTTAAAGACACCACCTAGCCAGACAGGCGGTTGGATCTGGTCTCCCAGGACCGTCCAGTCCTAAAACTTATAGGAGGTCTGGGGCTCAAGTTCCTTAAGCTTAAGACGAAGGGCCTCGCGGGTCGAAGGATGATGGGGTTCGCCGGCCCCAGGGTCTCGGGGTCACACCAGGCTCATTAAACTTGGAGAAGTCAGAGAAGTGGGGGAGGGGGCCCCGCACCGGGCCGTGGTGGAGCGAGGCCGGGCTGGGGCCTACGTCCCGGGCCGCTGAGGGGAGCTGGGGGAAGAAGGAGCCAGGCCTCCCCCTCACCCTCACCTGTGCTATGAGGAGAAGTCCCGGCAGGACCCGCGCCAGCACCGCCATGTTCGCCCAAGATCCCCGTCACAGGGCAAGACAGGGCAGGACGGCTCAGGCCACCCTTCGCCGCAGTCGGAGCCGGGACTCGGCCGCCACAGCCTCAGCCGCCGGACGTTACCCAGCAACCCCTAGGCCCTACTTCTTCTCCCCCTCCTGCCTAAGCGCCGCTGCGCGGCCGCCCCGCGTGCGCACGCGCCCCACACTTCCGCAACTCCCGGGCGCAGGGTGAAAGGGCGAGGCGCGGCTCACGAGGCGGATTGTGACGCAAGCAAGATGGCGGTGAGCCGACGGTGGGGAGGAGAGGGAAACACGCCGCCGCCGCAGTGCTGCCCGACGTTACCCGGCAACCTCCGGGCTCCGCCTCTTATTCCCTCCTCCACCCACCCCCACCCCGGGCTCCTGCCCCAACTGCGCAAGCGCCTCGACGTTACGGCCGAAGCTTTCGCCGAGAGGTGAAAGGGCGCCGGCGCCAGACGCAAAGGGGACTCTGACGGCTGCAATATGGCGGTGAGCCGAGGGGGTTACACACTGGTGCTGCCGCCGTCGCCGCTGCTGCCGCTGGGGCGGGAGGGGGACGGACTGACGGACCCGGCGCTCGGAGGCCCGGGCCCCTGATCCGCTGTGCTTTCTCTGCAGGACAAGGAGAAAAAGAAGAAGGAGAGCATCTTGGACCTCTCCAAGTACATAGACAAGACCATCCGCGTGAAGTTCCAGGGAGGCCGAGAGGGTAAGAATGACCTCGCACCCCGCCTGTCGCTCCCGTCACGTGGTCTGGCCCAGGGTTCTCGTACTCCCCCCTCCCCCCGCCTGCCTTAGCCAGTGGTACGTTCCGGTCGGATCCGCTCTGGCTTCTGGAGCGCCCTCCATTCATTCCTCTCCTGGACCTTGGGTTGGTGCGCACTTTCTGGGTTGCAGGGCCAGCCCCATGGTCGGGCTAGGGAGCCCCTACTCTCAGGGAGTGAGCTTACCCTCTGGGAGGGCAGAGTCCCATAGACAGATTCAATCCGGTGCACATTTATTATGCGCCAACTGTGTACGAGGTAGAGAGGCCGCCCTCGGCCTAGGAATCAGGAAGGCCTGGGTTCAAGGGCTGCATCTATCTGACAGACACTAGCAGACAAGTCACAGCCTTTCATTGCTCGTCAACCTTCTCAGACTAGGTGATCTGCATTCTGGAAGTCAGTCTCAACAAGCTCTTATTAAGCAGCTAGAGTACGCTGGCAGCTAAGTCATGCAGTAGATGGAGCAATGGACCCTGAAGTCTGGGACCGAGTCTTTAAATCCAGGGGCAGGCAGATGCTTTCCAGCTGTGTAACTTCAGGCAAATCTATCTATCCAGGATAAATTGGAGATTTTCAATAGAAGGAAGCCATTAACTTAATTAAGAGGAGATCAGGAAAGACCTCCTGGAAAATGAGATTTTTGCTGAGATTCAGTACTCAAGTTGGTAAGATCACAGATCTAGATCCCTCCTCTCCACCTATAACTGGGACAGTGCTAGCTCAGTGACCCAGCCAGTGAGAACCCTAATTTCCAGCCTCTGATACATACTGGCTTTTTGGTTGTGGATGAGTAAGTCACTTAACTTCTGTGGCCCAGGCCACCCTCTAAGTTGGGTGAGTAGTAGTGTGGTGAAGCCTACAGACTCCTTCTCAGAATAATATTTTTAAACGCACAAAATAAAACAACATGGGATTACAAAGGAAACCAATTCTGTTGAAATAAGTTATCAAAAAAATATGTATTTTTAAAGTTCACAGACCACAAGTTAAGAACCTCTTCTGTAAGTTAATATAGGTAAGTTGTTGCCAGTCAATGGCAAGGGAGGCAGTTTCCATGTGGAAAAAAATGTGTAAGGTGGGTGTTGTGCCCCAGGAGTATAAAAATAAAAAAGTAGCATGATATTCATTCAACAAACATTGATTGAAGCACCTGCTGTGTGCCTTTGCACAAATTTACACAGATCCTATTCTTACAGAGCTCCCAGTCCAGTAGAGGGAGGAGACACAAGTGTAAGTCATGACAGTCATGAAGCAAACTTTGACTACCAGCTGCTTGATCTGCAATATTTAAATAAGACACATAATCCTAATAGGTAAAAGTCATTCAAGAAACATTGGATCAGTACCTACACACAGTAGGCACACATAGTAGTAGTAGAGTTCCTCTCTATAGTTCTGTAGCAGTGGGGGGGCAGGGTTTGCAGTTTGTAATGCAAACACAAATAACTGATGTCCAGTATCTTGTAATGGATAGTCCTTGAACAAATCTTGATTTAAGTGTGTCCTGTAATCTTCCTTAATACTCCAGTCCTATGTGCAGATCCCTGTTTTTTGGGGTGGTGGGGGAGATAATGCATCTTAGCTAAGATTGGGTCCTTTCCCCCAAGGGGTACACAGTAGCATCCTAGATGGAGAGCTGGAAGAAACCTTGGAGGTCATATGGCTTCATTTCACAGATGAAGAGATCTGAGACCCAGAGAGATTCGATGACTCCAGGTTAAAGTTGTCAGCAGCAAAATTGGAGCTGAACCCCGGTCCTCTGGCTCCAGACCCCATGTCCCTGTCACCACACCAAGGCTTGAAAATGTAAACCGTAAAACAAATCCACAAGTGTATGAACAAGGTAAGGGAAGGTATATTGGCTTCACAGTTGGCAAGCTGGTCTTGGAATCAAGACGACCCAGGCTCAAGGCCAGCTTCTGACACTGGCTCTGTGACGGGGCAAGTCGTTTAACTTCTCAGTGCCCCTAATCTGCATCAGGAGCTCCCTAGAACAGTGAAATCACAAGCCTGTTCCAAATTAGTCAGGTGTTGGGGCGGAGCCAAGATGGCGGAGGGAAAGCAGTGACTTACTTGAGCTCTCCCTCAAATCCCTCCAAATACCTATAAAAAATGGCTCTAAACAAATTTTAAAGCAGCAGAACCCACAAAAAGATAGAGTAAAATAAATTTCTAGCCCTAGACAACCTGGATGGCTGATAGGAAAGGTATATTGTGTCTGGTGAGGAGAGGAGTGCAGTTGGGCGTGGACGCACAGGCTGCAGCGAACCTGGAGCAGGCCTCAGAGGACTGAATCACAGGCAGCTGTGGCAGTTTCCAGACCTCTCAACCCACAAACACCAAAGACAACTTAGAAGGTCAGTGGGAAAAGTCTGTGACTGCAGTGAGAGAGAGAAGCTAGGTCTCAGCCACAAGTCCCGAGTGCGGCCCTTCTGAGCTTCCGGCCCACAGACCAAGGGGGAATAAGAGAGGCTGATCAGAAGGGGATTGCAAGGATCTCTTTGCCAGTGCTGAGGCAGGAATCTCTTGCTTTGTCCATGCTTAGATCTGGATCATAGTTCTGAGGGGCAGTCCTGGGGCAAGGAGGAGTGCTGGCCTGGTAGAGCTTGTTGTGGCGGTGGAGAGAAAACACCTTGCCCTTTACCAAAGCACCTTGGAAGAACTGAAAATTTACAGGTCCCTCGAAGTATCTCTGAAAACAGCTGAACAAAACCCCTGAAGCTTGAGACAGTACATTGTCCACATTGGAAGCAGACTCTTACCTTCACAAAGAGTTTAAAACTCAAGTAATTGGTTGAGATCATGAGCAAGCAGCGCAAAAAGAGTCAGACTGTATTATCTTACCTTGGTGACAAAGAAGATCAAAACATACAACCAGAAGAAGACAACAAAGTCAAAGCTCCTACATCCAAAGCCTCCAAGAAATATATGAATCAGTCCCAGGCCTTAGAAGAGCTCAAAAGGGATTTTGAGAAGCAAGTAAGAGAAGTAGAGGAAAAACTGGGAAGAGAAATGAGAGTGATGCAAGAAAATCATGAAAAACAAGTCAACAGCTTGCTAAAGGAGACCCAAAAAAATACTGAAGAAAATAACACCTTAAAAAATAGCCTAACCCAAATGGCAGAAGAGGTCCAAAAAGCCAATGAAGAGAAGAATGCCCTAAAAAGCAAAGTTGGCCAAATGGAAAAGGAAGTCCAAAACATTACTGAAGAAAATACTTCCTTAAAAATTAGAATAGAGCAATTGGAAGCTAGTGACTTTATGAGAAATCAAAACACTGTAAAACATCCAAAAGAATGAAAAATTAGAAAACCAAATTAGTAAGGTGTAAAACGAAACATCTCCCATTAGTCTCTTCAGTTTGAAGGGATCCAACTTATTTTTAACATGTATTTATTAAGGAACCTCCCCTGTGGGAGGACTTGTGTTTCAGGCTAGGAAGATACAAAATTTCTACAATAACAGTGCATCCCCTCTTGTGACAGTCTGTCGGGGAAAGAAACAAGCAGAGATAACCATCATACACAGTATTACCAGAAAGTATATTAAAAGAAGTTCAGTGTGATAGATGACGTCTGAAAAAGTTGTTCACTGAAGACACTAGGGATATTCTACCTGGACAAGAAAACAATAATAACTCCCATTTTTATAATTCTTTAAGGTCTACAAAGTGCTTTCAACTTCACAACAAACCTGTGAGGTAGGTAGTGTGAATATTATTTTATAGATAAGGAAACTGGGCACCTAAAAGATTGTGACATGTCTATGGTAGCAACTGAGTGTCTGATGCAGGATTCAAACCCAGGTCTCCTGATCCCCTGTATTTTTATATACTCTACCTATGCTGCCTTTCAAGAAAAATTAGTATATGAAGGGTATAAGTTTGCCCTCCTTTTCTCCCCTTCAATCCAAATTATATTGGAGAAGTTGCAGTGGTCCAGTGGAAAGCACTCATGTGAACCCTATAGGCCAGGATCCAGGTCAGGGTTGCTGCTCAGTGGCTGAGTGGCCTAGAGCAAGTCATGTCCCTTCTCAGCCCTGCTTTCCTCATCTGGTAAAGTGGGGATAATACCATTCGTAGACTGTCTCTCTAAGGTCTGAAGAGCCTGAATGTAAAGCTGGAAAAGACCAGAGATGAGGAAATGAGGCCCAGGACGGTTGTGACACAGCATCAGACCACAGGCTCTGCATGGGGATCTGTGTCAGCACTGTGCTCCATGCTGGGAATGCACAGACAGAAGTGAGAGCCCTCCCCCTCAGAACTGGCATTCAGATGGGAGAGATGACCTGTATATGCATAGACAGAACACATTCAATTCAAGAGCCAGCGGGGGGAAGGCTCTAGTAGCTGGGGGCCCTGCAGTGGGGGAGTGCTTGGAGTTAAGGAAACCAAGGATTCCAGGAACGGGCAACAGCAGAGGCAGAGACTGAAGGGGAAGCCTCATGAGTGAGGAGCAGCAAATGTGGCTAGTCAGTGTGGTGGGAGTGATGGTGAAGAACACTAGAAAGATCAGAAGGGGCCTGCTCCTGTAGGGCTTTAAATGGCAAGCAGAGTAGTTTTATTTGATCCCAGAAGTGATTGGGAGCTGCTCGAGTTTACTGAGTAAGAGGGGTGGGGTGTGTGTGTGTGTGTGTGTGTGTGTGTGTGTGTGTGTGTGTGTGTGTGTGTGTGTGTGTGTGTGTGACATAATTAGACTTTCATTTTGGGAAAATCACTTCCAAAGGTGTGTAAAGAACAGGATTGGTGCAGGTAAGAGACCTGAAGCTGGGAGTGCAACTGATACTCGGGAATGAGAGTCTGAACTATAGTAGCAATTGTGTGAGTCTTGGAGAGGGAATGTAGAGCCAGATTCAGCAGCCAGTTTTGAGGATGACACTGACGTTGCAAGTCTGGGTGACTGGAAGGATGGGGTCCTCAGTAATAATGTTTGAAAGGGAGGAGGGCTTGGAGGAAGGAAGAGTTAATTCTGGGTGAGATAGCTTAAGGTGTAGGTTTCTATGGGCCTTGCAAGTTGAAATGGTGATGCAGGACTGAAGCTCTGTAGATAAATGGACAGAATAGATCTGGGTGTCGTCTGCATAGAGATGATCATCGAACCCATAAGAGCTAATGCAGTCACCAAGAAAGAGCATGAAGGGAAGAGAAAAGAGGGTGCAGAATTGCCATGGAGGGACACCCATAGGTAGTGGGCCTGACGTGGGTGATGAACCAGGGCCGGAGCCTTTGGAGGAGAAGCAGGAAAGCAGTGTTACAGAAGCCCCAAGAGGAGGACAGTATCCAGCAAGGTGGACCGGATTTGGCAATTAAGAGATCATTAGGCACCTTGGACAGAGCAGTTTCAGTTTGGTGAGGTTAGAAGCCAGACTGCAGAGATGGTGAGAAGAAAGGGAAGGAGGGAAGCCAGCAGAGATGGCTTTCCCAAAGGGTTTGTCAAGAAAGAGAGAGAAAAGAGATAGGATGAGAGCTCTTGGATGGCAGGATCCGGTGACCCCAGGTCAAGGTTGGCTGCAGCGCCTGGTAACATTATTGGGGATCTGTCAAGGCCCAGCTGAAGTCTGGGCCTTCTGGAAGTCTTTTTTGGCGTCTTTGTTCTCTGCCCTCTGAAATTCTAATGTATTGTAGCTTATACAGCATGACTTAGCACTCAGTTGAACAGGGTGTCCCAAAGGTCTTAGTGTGGTTTTAAGCTATTAAAGCTTATACTTGAGTAGTATATTCTTATAAAGCTGAACCCTGTCTTATATTGTTCTCCAGAGGTAATCATAGATGCTCAGAATGAGAAGGGTACTACCTTAGATTACATTCCAGTAGAATGTAAGCTCCTTGAGGGCAAGGATGGTTTTAGTTTTCTTTTTATCCCCAGCATAGCATTTTGTGTATGGTGATCATTTACCAAATGTTTGTTGAATTGGATTATGGTCAAAACGTCCTCAGTTTACAAATGGAGGAACTAGTGTGTGAGTGTTTGGTTTCTGCAACTAGATTATAAACTCCTTGAGGATAGGAACTGAATCTTAAGCTTTTCTCAAGTCTTCTATGTCATATAAATTGACACTCAAACATTTAAAAGATGGGATTCATAGTAGGAAAAGATATTAGACATTCACAGAATTCTGTAGCCGACAGGTATCACAGATGTCATGGTTTGTGACTCCCATATTTTGTGAATTACCCAATTCAAGCCCCCAATTTTAGGAAAGTCCTCCTTAGATGAGGCTTCTTGCCTGAGGTTACCCAGATAGCAGAGCTGGGATTCAGACCCCAGTTCTTGGCTCCCCATCCATTGTTCTTTCCCCTGCACCAGCCTTCAGGGCCTGGCATTCAGAGCCCCTACAGTCTGCCGCCTCACCCCTATCTGGGCTCATTTCATATAATTGCCTTTCATTTATTTTGTGTTCCAGCCTCACTAGATTCCTTGGGCTTCTGGCTGTTCCCCAGCTCACCATTCTGCCCCGACTCTGTGAAATCCCCAAGTCTTTCAGAGTCTAACCTTGCCTCCAGCCTTTCCTGAGTCTGTTCTCCCCAAATTGGCTTCTCTTTTCTCATGTGTGCATACATGTTGGGTTCTTTGTGCCTCCAGAAAGTGTGGGTTCTTTGTGCCTCCAGAAAGTGTAAGTTCTTTGAGGGATCCAAAGGTGGGGACTGTTTGATTTTGTCCTTGTATTCCCAACACCTGGCACAAGGCTTTGAGCATAGCAAACACCTAATACATTTGCCAGCTTACATTAAATTGGTTCATTAGCCTGTGGTGACAGTGAGGTTGCTTCTCCCTTCTACACATAAGGTATAATCTACTCTTGGGGTGACCCCCTCGAGCTACAGTTCATCCAGCCTTTATTAATGGCTTAAGCTCTCCTGGCACCAGAGATGCAAAGATAAAATCACATGATCTCTTCCCTCAAGAAACTTACAGTCTACTGTGGGGAACAAAACATGTGCATGCCTTGAGCAGTGGGGCATGGCGTCTAAGGAGGAGACCTCACTGTGCTGAGAGGAGCAGGGTGGTGCTGTAGGAAGACCCTCGGTGGAAAGTCAGAAGCCCCAGGTTCAGATTCTAGCTCTGTTCTTTGCTTTAACCTTGAGCAAGGCTCTTCCCCTTTCAAGGCCTCAGTTTATTTATCTGTGTAAAATGAGAGGCTGGACTACATGATTTCCAAGGGTTCTTCTAGGTCTAAATCCTATGAGAAAGTAGGGCTTAAATTAGCCTTGAAGAGATGAAAGTATTTCAGTGGATAGGGATGGGGGCCATAAAACATGACCCGCTAGCATGGAGAGAAGGCTGGCATGGGCCAGGGTGAGTTATCCTGGTTGGCTGAATGGAAGAACAATGTGATATATCTGGAAAGGCAGGTTGGAAGCAGAAAGGAAAGACCTTGAATGCCAGATTAGGGACTTGATCCTGAATGCTCTGCTGTCTTTTATTTACCCAGATTCACCATCCCTGTCTCCAACACATATGTAGGGAGATCTGGGGTTTGGCTAGGCAGGCGAGCATTTTGAGGTGTTTTTTTGGTGGGGAGATTCGTTGGGTTTTTTTTTTTAATGCAGCTCATATGGTTGCTTTTAATATATTGCTTTTTATGCTTGTGAAATGACAACTCTCATTTTCCTCTTTCTGATTCCTCTTTGCCAGCCAGTGGAATCTTAAAAGGATTTGACCCTTTGCTCAATCTGGTACTTGATGGCACCATTGAATATATGAGAGGTAAGTTGGCAAAACTTTGAAGCTTGATTGCTGATAAATCTGATGGGCTAAAATTGTCATTTCATTTAGGAATCTAATACTTTGTTAATTATACAGCTGATCACACTTTCTGATAACCTTATTGGGACCCAATTATTCATTACCCATTAAGCTTTAGCAGTAGGTTTTCTTGGGAATGTAGGCACATTCTGTGCTAATTCATTCACTGGATGTTTTAAGTTCCTACTGTAAGTAGCCCCCTAAGCCCTCCCTTGTGGGAGGGAAGGGGAGAGGGTTAAGCTCAGCCAGGACAGTCAGGTCCTCAGATTTAATCTGGGTGTTATAAACAGTTTGACTGGTACTTTTCCCCACTGTTCTGGTTTATACACTGTCTAGGCTCTGGGGCAGTGTGTACCTGAAGGTCCCTTCTGGCTCTGGATCCCATGAGAAAGTGGGGTCTAAATTTGCCTTGAAGAGATGGAAGTATTTCAACAGGTGGAAATGGGGCCAAGGAGAAAAACCCATTGCAGACACGAGGGATGGTTTGTGCTTCCAACTGTGAGCCTGGACCAGCGTACTCATACAGTTAGGTTTGGTTTCCACCGCCCTACTTACCAGACGCAGTAGTCCCTTAATTCAATGGCTGTGGTTCAGATTGTATTAAGTAATCGCTGTTATAGCCAATTTGGCCACTCATCTGGGATATCTCAAACCAGACTAACTCTAAGGAGGCAACAGGAAGCTTTTCTCTTGTCGTGGGAGCGTTCCGGTCCAATAGAGTGGTTTGGGAATTTACAGAAGAACTAGCCTGGTCATTCAGTGCCGAAAGCAGTAGGCCTTTATGTGGCACATTTAAGGGAAGGGCAGACTAAGCCCTGGCTTATCCAGAAGTGCTCCAGGCTGGGGAGTCAGGAGCAGGGAGTGTAGAACGCTGTGGAATCTCCGGCTCCCCAGACACTTCCAGAACAAGCTGGGAAAGGACAAGGAGGCATCCACGAGGGGGTGCAGCTGGGCATGGCAGAGGAGAAGTAGTCTGCTGGCATGCCAGGATGCTGCTCCCCAGACTTGGCCTGTGGTCGCACCAGTCTTTTCCCACTCCTCCCAGGCTCAGTTGGTAGGATTCCTAAGTCCCCATTACACTAGCTGGAGATGGGAGAGAAACTTGGGGGGCTGCGGAGGAGTCTGGAGCAGGTATATCCAGTTGGCTCCCCAATTCTGATGGTCAGACTGGGAGCCTCTACAGAAGCTGGAGGTTTCTAGCAGATAGGACTATTGCATTGTATATTGTCTGGCATTATAGGCAGAGCCTGTCAGGATTAACATTTGACCCGGAAAACTAGCAAGGTTTTCTGGGCTACCACAAAGCATATTGAATATCTCCAGTGTATGGCATCAACACACAACCAGCTGTGGCCCCCAAGCACTATGGCTGCAAGGCCCCATAGGCCGGTCTTTGTTTACTGTGTTACCTTCCAGTTACAGGCTAACAGGCCCCAGAGCTTTCTCATTAACCCTTTGAAATCAAGTGCCTAATAAGGATTTACCATCCTCCCGAGGTATAGTGCAGCATTCCTGGGATTAACTAGTTGCAGATATCCTTTCCCCACTATGAATAGTAATTCACATGTCTGTAATAGTTTTCCATGCACAAAAACACTTTCCTTGAAGCAGACCTGTGTGGTAGGTCTGTAATCTGGGTTGGGAGGAGGAAGAGGAGGAAAAATTCTCTGTTAAATCATTGTGTCTGGTAGAAGAATTTGCTTTTCTCTCTTAGAGCATCACCGGTGTTGATCTTGGTGTTCTTGGCTCTAGTCTCCTCTTCTGTGGTTGCCTTTCAGATCCTGATGACCAATACAAGCTCACTGAAGACACACGTCAGCTGGGGCTGGTGGTCTGCAGAGGTACCTCGGTAGTGCTGATTTGCCCTCAGGATGGCATGGAGGCCATTCCAAACCCTTTCATCCAGCAGCAGGACGGATAGCCCCAGGCTGTGTCCATGTAAGCCTGGTGGCTTCTCAGCAGCTCTGTTGAACAGGGCTGTGAGGTTTCAGTTCGGCAGGGAAATACCTTCCTTTTCTGAAAGGACTCAGTGACCTTCCCTCATTACAACTTGCCAGCTGGGAGAGAAGAGAGACTTTTTTTTTGGTGTATTTTTTTTCTAATAAAATTACAAAACAAATCTGTTAAGCATAAGCTCTTCTTTCTTTTACTCTTTGGTATTAGTGGGGAACGATCAGAATCACAGGCCAGATTTGACATAATCCTTAGTACTAAAGATGAATTTCTGGGTCCTCTGAGCTCTAGAAAACGGAACTGCCTTGTTATAAAGTTGTTTGTGCTATTCTGAGAGCTAAACCTTAGAAATGAGAGTTAGGATTCAAAAGAATCTTGAACAGGCTATAACCCAGAGCCACAACTCATGGAGTGCAAGTTAGTATAAATATAGGGTGTCCCAAAAGTCTTAGTGCAGCTTAAAGCTCATTAAGCCTTAAATTGCACTGAGTTTACATTTGAACTTCTCAGGTACAAGGTGTAGGGGAGGTATAACTAGATAGTCTGAAGAAGATCAGAGGTTTTCAGTGGCAGACTAGCTCAGTAGGAATCAACAGAGTTATAGCAGTCAGGATGCCTAGGGAAATCTCAAGCTGCAGGAAGAGGCAGTTCTGTTGTTCAGGAACAAGGGGAAATTCTAGTGCGGGCCCTGTACTGGACGAGTCAACCATCTGAAGCGTGTTTGGTTCTGCAAATCGCATCTGAGGAAAGACACGGATAGGTTGGAGGTTGTTCAGGGAAAGGCAGCAGAGATGATGAAGGGCCCCATTGCTGCCATGTTGAGGATGGGCTGGAGAAAGGAAGACTTGGCAGAATGGGATGACTGCCTTCAAGAGGTTCAAATGTCAAGTTCTCTGCGAACCTTAGAAGAGCCAGAACACAGGCAGGTCCGGATGAGTTCAAAATAAGGAATATACGGAGTTAGGATTATGTCAGATATGGTCCTTGGTTCCATCCCAATGGAAATTAGCTAATTCAAATAATGCTAGCATTGATTCTTATTTAGCACTAATCAGGGCTTGGCTGTATAAAATTTGCTCTTAGATGTATTGTGTGGAGGGTTATGGGGACGAGGAATTAAGATTGGAGCACTATTAAGATCCATGAGGCAAGTTACAACAACAACAAAAAAGGATATTTAGGTTTGACATAAGAAAAACTTGCTAACGTTGAAAGCTATCCCAAAGTGTAGCGGGCTTCCATTGAAGGTAGTGGGGCTCCCCCTCATTTGAGGCCTGTGGGCAAAGGATGACCAGGAGATAACTCTCCTCTTCAAGTGTTTGTTAAATGCTTACTAGGCTGGATGTGCTAAACTGAGGTGAGGGGGTCCAAAGGTCGTGAGGGTAAATAGAGCTCAGATCCCAACTCCAAATGCTGTTCTTAGGTTTATACTATAGGAGAGTTGAGCTTAGCTAGCTCTTGAGGTCCCTTCTAGTTCTAAAAGCAGCTCAATCAAGCCAGTGGGCAGATGGTTAAATTTCCAGTATAAACATTTACTCCTCAGAAATTTGGCTGACTACAAATCAGGACTTGGTTTATTGTTTCGTTAATTGTCTAGAATTAAGAAAGTAATGGAGAAAATGGCAATAATACTGATTAAGCTTAAAAGCATGTCTTGCATTTCTGGAGAAACAGTTGTTAAGCATTTACCAGCTCGGCCCTCTCTAAAAGGTCTCCTGTTTTCCAGTTTTTTTTATTGTTATTCTGTTCCCGTTAGAGGCAGCTTGGTTCAGTGAACTAGGTTGAGCCACTGATATCTGGATTTGAACCCAGCTTCTACCACTTAGCTGCATAGCCTGGGGCCAATCATTTCACCTTCCCGAGTTCAGCTTCACAGAATGCGGATATTTGACCAGAAAAGCTACATAGAGTATTCTGCAAAGAACTGGAAACAAAATAGGTACCCATCAGTTTGGAAATGGTTAAAAAATTTGTGGTATTATGGATGTAATGTAATTTTTATTGCGCTGTTAGAGTGATGAATATGAAAGATTTAGAGAAATAAAGATTTTTATAGATGGATGCAGAGTGAAATGAGTAGAACCAAAAGAACAGAATTTCTGACCCAAGCATCAGCCAGTCACAGGATGAAAGACACCTTACCTCTTGGCAGAAAGATGACGGACTGCCTGCGTTGCAGAGTGAGATGCATCTCAAACGTGATCAGCATATTGGTTTGATTGTACGTATTTGTTATGAGGGCAGGCTTCTCTACAGCTAACATTTATGTAGTGCTTAGTATGTATCAAGCCCTATGGTAAGCACTTTACCATTATTATCTCAACAACCCTATGAGGTAGCTGCTATGTTTATTTCCATTTTAAATAAGGGGAAACTGAGGCAGAGAAGTCAAGTGACTTGCCATGGGTTACATAGCTAGTAAGTGTTTCAGGGTAGATTTGAATTTGGGCATTCCTGACTCCAGGCTTGGCACTCAATCCACTGCACCATCTAGCTATCCTCATAATTTGGGGAGGAAGGGAAGTAGTTAGTAAGTAGTGACAAATACGGGGAAAAGGCATCCATAAAGTGTTTGTTTTTTTTAATGCATGGAAGGGGAAAAAAAGTACCAAAGGAGATACAAATAGAGCAATTTTATAACTACTTTGTCAAGTTTGACATAGATCGTGTTTTTTAGAAAAACCACATACTAGAAGTTCAATTTTTAATGCAATCCTCTTTTCCTGTTCTTTGTATCTTCAAATACTCAGATCGTTGATGATAGATTCACAAATTTTTTAAAAAGGTATAAAGGTTTTACTAAGGAACACATCACTGTATTAATGTGGCTTTCCATTGTCCTGTCATTTACGCTCCTCAGCCTGAATCACCCCTGCCATCTACCTTTCCTGGTCCTGCTACCTTGTGGCTGATCAGAGATGGGAGTCACACAGCCAATGCCAACTGGGTCGTCTGAAAATCCACGGCAATCCTGTCATGTCATTCTTCCCTGGTTGACTCATGCTTCCCATTGCCTATCTCAAACATCCTCTTAGCGAATGACTTCCCTTCATGCTCCACCAAGAAAACAGGCCATCGGTTTTTAACGTCTTCACTTCCCCTACTAGATACCATGAAATTTCTCTAAGTTGTCCCTCATCCTTTGCTGTAGCTTCTCGGGAAAATGTGATTCTTCTCCTTATCAAGGACATCCCCCTCTACTTTTGTGCCCATTATGGTGAAATGGGAAGAGCTGGGTTAGGAGTCAAGAAGACCTAAGTTCAAATCCCGTCTGGCACTGTCTGACCCTGGGCAAGTCACTTATTAACTTTTCTAGGCATCAACTCCTCATCTGTGCCAAGTACTATGTTAGTACTGGGAGAATAAATAGAGGAGAAAGAAAGTCCTGGTCTCAGAGAGTTCACAATCTAATGGGGAGGTGGGGAGAACCGGGGAAGATGGTGAAATATATGAAGGTTCAGCTGCATCTCTGGAAGAGAAAGGAAGTCATTTCTTAGGGCCACACAGGCAGCAAATACCAGAGCCAGAATTCCAGCCTTGGTCTTTTTTTTTAATCACTAAGTTCAATTTTATTTTATTTTCAGTTTCAAATTTTCTCCCCCCTCCTCCACTGAGAAGACATTAAAAAAAAAATTGAACTCCTTACAAAGAGGAATAGTTATGCTAAACAAATTTCTGCATTTTTAAGCAATAAAAAGAAAGAAATATATGCTTCAATCTGCACTCTGAGTTCATCAATTTTCTACGTGGAGCTGGGTACCATGTTTCACTGTGAGTCCTTTGGAATTATGGTTTGTCATTATGTTGTTCAGACTTCCTGTCTTTTGAAATTGATCATCTTGGCAAACATCGTGTTTACTACCTACTTTGTTAGAACCACTATGTAAGTGGTTCTTTCCATTTTACATCAGTTCGTACAAGTCTTCTCAGAGCCTAGGTCTTCTGACTCCAAATCCCTCACTCTTTCTGCTTTGCTTCTATCCTTCCTTGGCACTGATCTTGCCTTCCCTTGTATCATTTATCTGTACATCTGTTCTCCTTGGAGGGGGGCGGGGGAAGAATGTTCAATGAATGAGTGAGAAAAGCATTTATTAAAGCAATTACGATGTGCCAAGCGTTGGGAAGACAAATGAAAAGCAAAGAAAATCTCTCGCCTCAAGGAGCTTACGGTCTAGTAGAGAGAGCCAACAGTTGTTGAACCATTTGCTTAATTTGGAAATAGTACGTGTTTCTATATATGTGTGTGTGTGTGTGTGTATAATATATGTGTGTGTATATATATATATATATATGTATATATGTAATAGCTTGAGGGGTTATTACTAATGAAGTGCAAATACAATGCTTAAAAGGGGAGAAAGTTTCACCACTAAGTCCATAACCAAGTGGAACTCTTGGGTGGTATCACCCAAGTGCTCTTGGGTGGTATCAGGGAAAGTGGGTGTAATAACTGGAAAGGACCTTAGAACTGCCTCCTCCTATCAAGATGTATAGGGTAGGAACTATATTTGTTTATTTTTTGCTGAGCATAGTGCCTGGCACATGTAAATGAGTATTGACTAATATATATATAGTGCTTCAAGGTTTACAGATCGCTTTACACATAATTTTGTCCTCATAACAACCCTGTGAGATAGGTGCTGTTGTTATCCCCATTTTACAGAATGAGGAAACTGAGGCAGAAAGAAGTGTCTTGCCCAGGATCACACAACTAGGAAGTGTATGAAGTAGAATTCAAACTCGGGTCTTCTTTTGGCTCTAGGTACAGACCCCTTTCCTAGATGCCTAGGATTGATCATCTAACTTCATTTTACAGAGGAGGAAACTGAGGCCCAAAGAGCTTAAATGATTTGTCCAAAATTATATAGATAGTAAACAATTGAGCAGAATCACTAAGCCAGGTACTCAAGACCCATGAGACAGGTCTCTATCCTTATCCTCTCCTAAACCTTGGTTGAACAATTCACTTAAGTGAGAGCTGAGTGGACCCATCTGGGGTTGGAGGCGGGGAAGAGGTGCACCTGAGACAAGTGCAGGAGTCACATGGAAGATGAAAATGGGGTCAGGCAGGATGAGAATAACCTGGAGAAGGAATAGGAAACAGGATCCCCAGGACTTAGTGTCAGGAACAGGTAATTCCTCACCTGAAGTCCTAATGCCCCTGGTCACAGCTG